GTGCTAGATGGGCGCATCACTGCCAAGGACTGCCGATTCAAACATTGTATCCCGAAGGCGGTGTCGTGTATCAGGATGACAATGCACCAATACATACAGCAAGCCTGGTGAAAGATTGATTTGATGAACATGAAAGTGAAGTTGAACATCTCCCATGGCCTGCACAGTCACCAGAMCTAAATATTATTGAGCCACTTTGGGGTGTTTTGGAGGAGCGAGCCAGGAAGCATTTTCCTCCACCAGCATCATGTAGTGACCTTGTCACTATCCTGCAAGAAGAATGGCTTAAAATCCCWCTGACCACTGTGCAGGACTTGCATAGGTCATTCCCAAGAAGAACTGATGCTGTATCGACCACAAAAAGAGGCTCTACACCATACTAATAAATTATTGTGGTCTAAAAGGGTGTTTCAGTTTAATTGTCCAACCCCCYTATATGTTGTGTTAATGAGTAACTCTAAATTGGCCCCATAGGTGCAAGGAAGAGTTGTCTGTCAGGTTTGGCTCTATGTGGGCTTGAGACGGACTCGAGAAATATCCAGTATGAACATTGGACCCTCTCACACAATGACTGCTGGAGATGGAGACCAGCTCATRCACAACCCTAAAAAAACTGTATGTAAAGAAAATGGATGGTTTTCACAGTCATGCTGCATCAATTAAGCTCTCAGCTTTGTGTTAAAGGAAACAAATCAAACATATATTTAAAGGTAAAAGTAATAAATTGCACCTGACATTGAGTTACGATTGTGTGATTAGTGTGCAAAGTTATTTTGAACAGTGACGGCTTTGTCTACGACGAACTTCTGCAGGATGACCGAAGATTATTCTTCCGAGAAGGAAATGAGCCAGATGTGGCATGTTGTTTCTCATTAGTGGCATGCAGCTCTTCTTTTTCTTTCTTTCTTTCATTCATTTTTATTTTTTTTTACCCGATTTTAAAACAAATACCCTGCTTCGAATGTGTGCGTGACAGCTGGAGATGAGTACTCAGCTAAGTGGAGGAAAATAAATCAAAGCACTTGCCATCTTTTTGTGATGATTTGTCTAATTCTTGTCTGGTATGTCCATGGAGGGAGGGAAGGAGGAGATGGAGGGGTAGCAGGGAAATGCGGGTGAGGAGATGTTCTGTGTGTGTGTGTATGTGGAAAGATGGGAACAGAGTTAGTCAGAGACAGAGAGGGGGAAAGTGTGTCTTTAGACCAGCTGCACAGCAAATCTGTTTATTCTGCACAATTTGGCATCAAACACAACAGACTGCTGAGTGCTTGCTTCTGCTTGTGGTGCCCCATTAAAATGGAATTTATCGGTGCCTTAAGAGTAAGTCCAAATTACACATTTTCCCTCTCTGCCCCCCCCCCCCCCCCCCACACACACACACACACACACACACACACACACACACACACACACACACACACACACACACACACACTTTTTTTTTTCTGAGGTGATGTCTGGGAAGTTTTATCCTTCCATACTTCTTGCAGCAGCTGTCAGACAACTTGTCAGAGCTGCTCATTACAGACCCATGCAGGCAGCCTTGGTAGGCAGGCCCACCTACAATCCGCCCATCAGTGCCATCTCCACTGTCATCTGACTGAGTGCTGCTCAGACTCAGACATCATTTAAAAAAGAGAGCCTGTGCAGTCTCTGAATGTGGTGACACTTTGCTAAAATCGTTCTTTTTTTCCACTCATTTTTGTTTCAAAGATTAAAATGTATTTAAACAGTTTGGAAACCTGTTACTGGTTTATTTCTTATTTTTACAACTGCAAGCAGAAGTTTTTTTGGTGTTAAAGAGAGCGTGAACTCTGGGGCCTCCATCTCGCTCCATAAATCTCCTCAGCCAATGATAAATTCATATTTAATGACTGTGACCATCGTCTGGGAAGGAGGAGCATTCTTTCATTTCATTATTTCATTGCCTCTTTCCCCCTGCTGCTCGGGCGAGATAATTGATTTCTCTGTGGTAACAAGGTATCGACCATGCACGGTAGCCAGCTAAGACGGCGGTTCGATTCAAAGGAGGGGTGGAGAAGCAGAGGGGGGGAGGACAAGGGATGAAGCTGAAGAAAAGGGTGCAAAAGCACTGAAAGCTAACAAGCCATACAATTATCTGCAGTTAGGAAAACTTGCAGGCTTTAGGTGGCTATAGATCAGACATTTACCGTTGATTATCTTTTTTTTTTCATGGTAGCAGGGAGGAATTTTGTTAGGTTTCAACTGTTCACCAAGGGGTTAGGAAGTTTGGTTAATTTACTGAACAGATTACAAAGTCATTTATTCATAGAGTCAAAAGGAAATTCTGATATTTTTAAAGCATTTTAAAAAACAAAATATCTGAAACAGATTGTGAATACAAAGTATAGAGATAGATCTTCACAACGCAAACCTTTTGTTTGTTTCTTGTTGCCCAAATAGAACATTCTAAGAGACTGGAACTAAAAAACCTGATTGTAGTGTGTAAACCATGCGAAAAGTTAAAATATCCAGGTGAAAAACTGGGGTTTTGKTAATTTTTTGATAGAAGTTCAGTCAAATTTTATTACCATGGGATGAAAAATAGATGCTTAAAATATATTAAGTCGTTAAATCTAATTAAATGTAAATGTTATGTTGGACTAAGAGACATAATTTGTGTTTTGGAATACCTGAAAAAAGAATGTTTTGTGAAAATACAGTGTCAGTGCTGAATTACGAATGATTTTGCTGAAGTTTGATAAAGAAGTTGGATTAGAGATGTTAAAGCTAAAATCAGAACACTAAAAAGCTAAAAAGAAAAACACTAGCAAAATYCTAGTTAAAAAGTAGCAAAACAGTAGGCCTAACAGTTGAAAGTAGCAGAATGCTAAATAAAAATTAAAAGTAGAACGAAAAGAAAACTAAAGRAACATGCTGACGTAGATTTTAAAGTAAAGAATGTTTTAAAGGGACTGCAGAGATCGGGAAATAACTGCAAATACATGTAAAAAAATTTACGAGCATAAAAATTGTAAAAACAGAATTATTCCAGCTGAATTTATTACTGTATAAGTGCTACAGCTAACTGCTGCAACAGCTATTTATTGTTATTTACTGTTTAAACAGGCAAATCCCATTGAGATTGCTGATTTCTTTTTAAGGGCGGCCTGGGCCTGAAGGAAACCTTTCGTACATGTTTTTGTGTTTTGGGGAAAACCGGGGCACCCGGAGAAAACCCACACAAATATGAGGTGGGCATGCAAACTCCATGCAGAAAGTAATCAGGTCAAAACCGGGGATGCTAACCAGTGAGCCATCATGCTGCCCTAAATTTTATTTTATTTATGCTTGCAAATAAACAAATAACTTTATGTYAAAACCCATAATGTAAAAAAGGTAGCAGTATAAAGGTTTATAACATAAAGTTCACAAAAACACTTATAAAACGTGTGAGATTTGAGTCGTTTTAAGGTGTCAGTAACCCATTTCAATCCTGTAATGCTAAGAGTTTAAGATATAAGTTTGCCAATTTGGTCAGAATTAAACGGTTTCCTAATCTGAAGCTGTTCAAGGAGCTACCTGCAGCAGGTGAGATATTAATTGTTAATATTTTGTCCATATAAAGCCCACTTTAAAAGATCTAAACTGCTTTCTCTTTTGCACATTTTGAAGTAATTTCACGAGCAGATCGATGATGTACATGTTTCTGAGTGAGCATTCAGGCACCCCACTGCTGACATGTGTGTTGTCATGTAATAACTCTTCAAGGACATAAACACAAGACATACAAAGTCTTTGTGGTTGCTGTTGACATGGATTTTTCTTAATTAGGTATATGATCAGACGATCGGATTTGACTGGCAGCTATTGAGCCGACGTCTCTAGAGTTGCTGCCGCTGACCTTACACCTTCTAGAGCGCAATGTCAATCAATCAATAACAGCAATAACTAAACTTTATGACTTGAGCAATTATTGATTATACTCAGCATCCAAAGAAAGCAGAGCTTCTGATCCTCCTTTAGCACCTCTGCCTGTGGCTCGCTGTATAAATAGACAAATTAAGCAGTGCTGCTGTTGTTACACGTTTACCAGCTTACATTGTAATTTATTTAAGAGCCCTTAATTGGACTAGTTACTCATTTGGCCCTCGTCGGTCCCACAGCAGAAAGGAGCTCTATCAGTGCACGCTGGGGCATGCTGGAATATGGAGCTACAGAGACACACTGTACACAGCCAGCTGTTTGATGTCTGCAGCACGCGAGCGTCTGCTGTACCGTGCAGCATAAATAAACACACAATCCCCTGGTGAGAGGACAGATCGACACACAGGAGACCTTATTTCAGGCTAATGAACTATTAATGCCGATTTAAAATTCAAACGCTTTTGCAGGCTCTTCTCTGCAGTTATTCCTGGTTGTGTGTGAGGCAGGGCGAAAGAAAAAAAGGCAACAACAGACTAATTTGGAAGGAAACCATACACCATATTCTCAACATCCCCCTCAAACAGCTGGACTTAGATCTCAGAAGACCAACTGTGTTGCTAAGATCCGTATTAAATGAGGCCATATAAAATGTATGTCAGTGGGTTCAGCCTGGCTTAGCGCTCGCTACAATAACTGCTAATGGAATAACTGTAAGATGTATAAATGAACCCTGCTTTAATTCATAATAATGTTGGACCCCATCGCCTGCCCATTCAGCCCAATAGATTATGGAAATGGCTGTAATGACTGCCGGAACAATGAGTCGAATTAAATGATCCTTTCAGGGCCACGTCAGCTTCGGAACGCCTGACACTGTGCTTTTCATCCTTTTCATTGAAGACCTGAAACACCAACAGCTCCCYTTTAATTAAAACCAGCAGAAATGAACAATGAAACCTATACTCCACACAACATTAACATACRCTGTTAATGAGGAAACAATATCTGTGTCAAAGGTGGGAGAGGATTTCAGTTTGGTGTTTTGTTTATTTTATTTTTTTGAAGCGCTCCTCACACCATATCTACTTCACAAATGAAAGCAACGACAAAAACAAGATTTAAAGGTTTTATTTTTTAGCTCAGCAGTGAACCCTTGTGGCAGCTTATTAAAGCAATAGTTCAAATCTTATGAAGCGGGGTTTTGTGTGAAAGTTATGAAGGATGAGTAGGGGTGTCCAACCCTGATCCTGGAGGGCTGCTCTCCTGATAATCTGTTTCCCTGCTCCAACACACCCGATTCAATGACTGAATACCTCTTCGAGTTTTGCATGTTATTCACTCGTTTATTCAAATCAGGTGTGTTGGAGCAGAGAAACCCCTAAAACTCACAATAGTGGCCATTGACGACCAGGATTTGACACATTTGGATTACATGTTGTACATCATTCTGGGTTTGGAGAAAACYAGTTTAATTTAGACCATCTTGATGTGGTAAATAGTTCAAGCAGGACCAAGAAACAAAGTGGGTTGCTGAAAACAACTCCCATCTCCAAACTTTCATAGCAGTTCTCGCTAATGATGTTTATAAACCTTTATCTCTGTTTAACACTCCAGGTTTTTTACTAAATGTATATACAGTTATTTGTCAGTGGCAGCAGCATTGACTTAGTATTCTGGCAGAAATATTAACATATACATGATTCATTATTGTCTGCATGAACCTCTGTGAAATTTAGATTTTAGGTTTTCTTAGATGCCAGCGATCTGCTTTGGACTTGGTCCTGTTTGGATCTCTTTGTAATCAAGGTCAGAATGAAACTATTGCTTTAAATTGAGGTCATTCAAAGAGCCATCTACAAAAGGGTAATACATTACTTGTTCATAACATTTTCTATAAACCCCACTTCTAAAGATCATAACTGGCACTTTAAGCCAAGAAAAAAATAATAAATTTCAGATCTCAAGAGCTTTCTTGGCAGTATATATAGTTATGTATTATTTACTTAGAAAATAAGAAAGGTTGATTTATAAAACAATGCCATTAATATACTGGTTTTAGAAGTTTAGTAATAATATTTTGTACAGAAATGCACAAAATATTCATAAAACAATGCCATAATAAAGAAGTTTTACAATTTCAAGATTAGCTAGAGTTGTTTGGAGTCATAACAATACAGTACATCACTTAACCTAAACACCTGCAAACACATGAACAGGTACAATTTAACCCAGATCTGCAACAGAGCCAACGAGAGCAGCACTCGATTGCTTTATTTATGATGTGCAACTTTTTTGCATATTGATAGTGTTTGTTTAAGATGCCTATTTAAACAAAATATGCCATTTAGACCAGTTTTTATATTAAACTAAATTTAATCCAAGTTTTATTTTTATCTCACGTAAATCCCATCAGATCTAATAAAATACAGTCTTTGGTCGACAGATCAACTCTTTGTTAGCGTTAGTGACTTTTTCAGTTTATGTGCTTAATAAAAAATACAGTAAGGCTTCTTCATATGTTAAGGCCTGCATGTGAAAACTAGTGTAACAGCACCCTCTAGTGGTTACCAAAGAACTGAAATATAGTTTTAAGTAGAGTGCAAAACGCTGCGAACATTGTCAGTGTTATCAGAGTATTAAAAAGTGAAAGAGTGAGCAAATATTAAACAACTGGCATGATTATATAGCATATAAATATATAATTAAACAAATGCTAAATGTCAAAGCAACCAAAGACAAAAAGCAAAGATGCACTGGCCAATAAAAAAATCTAGTTTTCTTTTGGTCATTAGGTATTTTTGTTGGAGTTTTATGTGATTAAAATTGCACATTCATCGATAAACATCAACTAAAATCTCAAAAAGGTCATTGCTTCATTTGTTCAAAATGGTTGCTTTGTCATTCAATTTTGAACTTGTTGAATTATACAGAAGTAAAATATTTGATCAGTAATAAAATATTAAACATATAACGTAAAAGGCAAACAAAAATCTAATTCTGGTCATTTTAAATGGAAAAAATAAAGAAAGTTTTAAAACACTGCAATGAGAAAAATGCTGTCAAATGTGTCACATGTCACAATTGCACAGGAATATTTCCCACATGATTATACAAAGATGTCTCCAGTTATTGTTGTAACGTTCAGAAATATCAAACCATTATTTCTTCCTTTGCCTTTACTTCAGCTGTGGAGAAGCAAAGAATTTGCCTTGCCGGTGAGAGGCGGACGTTGCTTTGCTTTTGCTCCCAAATCTAAGAGTGAGAAGGTCAAAGGTTGGAAAGGGAAAACAACATTTTAAGTTTAGGATTTTAAGGGAACATTTAAAAACAAAAAACAGAACAACCAGAAATCWATGGACACTTTTACTAAAGTTCAAATAGTTTGAATATATATTAATCCAGGACAACATTAATAAACAAATGTATAATGTGAATCTGTCATTTTCTCTTCATATAAAAATCTAAAATATAGTATATTAATTATAGAATTAGATGGTAGCATTTGATGTATAATATGCCTCTGAGTTTCAAAGATAAAGTTTAACACTATTTAAATTATGAAGAAATGCTATAAAAGTGCATTATTTTAATTATCCTTGGATAAGACTACATTTTCAGCCTGTGTGTGACTAGTGTGAATGAAGGTTTGAGCTTACATTGTGGTACTGGACAAGGTCTGCTTCATCCTCTGAGACAACGAGCTGGAGGAAGGGGTTCTGGCCATCATCTGTTGCTCTGGAGTCGTCATAGGCCCCAGTATGCTCACTACAGATGAAAGGCAATGACTGAGTGTCTGAACTTCACACTTTTGGCTGCTTCCTCCTGCAGGGGTCGCTACAGCAAGCAAACTATCAGATTTGTCCATTATTTTCCATTAGATGCTGTTTCTGACCCAAACAGGGCTTGAACCTGCTGCCTCACAACTACTAGACCACAGCACTGACCACCATGTTAGTGCATATTTAAAATGTTGAATGCTCAAAAGTGGCTCGATAAACCCAACAACCATCTTCAGCATAAGGCTAGACTAATCACTATGGGTGCAACAATACATGCATCTGTTTCAAACCATTCAATACATTGCTGTAGGTTCAATACATTACGTATGGAACAATACAGATTTTTAATATGTATTTTATTAAGATGTTCTGTATTGAAGGCTCATTGAATCTGTGTTCGACTACTCCACCTAGACTGTATTGTCGAGTCAGATCCACTGAGAAACTTGCTGTTTCAGCAACATTTAATTTAAAAACTGTACTTTTGAAGTTAAACAAATGCTCATAATTAATTTTAATAAATTCCAAGATAAGAAGGGCATGGAAATTTATCTTTCTTTTATCGAAAATATATCGAACTGTGAGACTACAGTGTCGAATCTAACCGAATAGTAAATTTTCTGTATCATTGCACCCCTACTAATCACATAGATAAAACTGGTGTTACAGCCTTTGAGCTCGTTTTTTTTTTATGTGATTTGGAACAAAAAGGTGAACATTTAAACATAAAAATATTTACCATTTTAGTTAACCAGTGGCATTTATATTTATTACCCAAAATACTATTAACACAAAAGAAAAATAAAACCAAACTTTTGTGTCGTTAGTTAAACTGCTATATACTGTATGATAGTTCAAATTAGTGCAGAGAATTGTAACAAAAAAAGAAACTGGTACAAACAAAACAAAATTCTGCCTCACACCYTTCATGCTTGGTTTGAGTAAATTCTATCTGAAGCAGAACGATCATGTTTATATTTAATTAATTTTAGCATATGCAATCAGGTTTATAAATATTGGGACATGGACACAGTTCTAATTCTTTTGGCCGTAAACACCACCGTGGAAATTAAATGAAATTAACAAAACAGGTTTACAGGTGTTTACAACCAAAAAGATGAGAACTGTATCCATTTCTTATACATGTAATTGATCGTGGCGCTCCGCCACGGCAAAATAAAAGCCGCCACACCTTCAGAATGAAGTTTTTTTTTTGTCCGAGACAACACATTTTCATTTCGGACAACCAGATCCCGCCTCCCGGTTGTCCAGTGGACAACAAAGAAAAAAGACCTTGATTAAAGTTTCCCTCTGCGGGTGTTCGTCATTGTAAAAATGAACTGGAGAAAAAAAAACTTGTTAAAACCATCCAGGTGAAGAAATTTAGTTATTACAGATTAGTACTGATGTTAGAAGCAACACTAGATTATTAGGGTTTCCTTTTTATAATATTTTTATAATGTTTGATCAATTATGTGTTGATATAGAGTAGTTACATGTCCGAATCATAAACAACACATAAGTGAAGCATTATAATAACATTAAGATGAGATTTTTGTATGAATGCCTGTGATTCAGCTGTAGGTCAGTAGGGGGCGAACTCAGGCATTAAAGAATTGTGTATAAAAAGATGCACTTCCTGACTCTTAGTTAGTGTGGTTTTCCTTGTCAGCCGGTGACAAATAAACCTCACTCAGGTCCAGAATTCTGGTGTTGTATGACTTTATTCCTTTCATAAATCATTTTATTRAACACTTGTGTTTTCATCTTGACTTCAGCCGTATTGAACATGTATTTTCTTACACAGGGATTAAACTGATGGTTCTTTCACCAAATAAAGAGAACAACAGTCAAAGTTTTACCTAATCAGAACAGAGCAGGGCAGGTGCGCGCTGCCATTTTTTGTTTTTTTCTCTGTGGGTGGGGGTCAGTTTCTCTCAGCTCAGGTGAACACCTCCCGGGAAAGCCCTCAGCGTTTCCTGGACTATTTTCCACCAAGGATTACGTCGTATTTTATATATATTTCTAAAAGCATCTTGCAGCATTTCCAAAAACYCATTTTTTTTGCAACTGTGTAGCAGCTTAAAGTAAAAATGCATCTTAAAATCAATACATTTATTCATAATTTCACACTAAGTTTAAACAAAGAACTTTGTCAGAACATCATACATATATTCAGTAAGCACACAAGAGCGACCTACCTTTGCTGTTTGGAGTGTRGGTGTGAAGATCAGTTTCCATCCCTGCATTATCTGGATAAGCAAACCGACTCCAGTAGGTTTTTGAGATACTGAGCAAACGCTCCACAACCTGTGAAAAACAGTCATTAATCCTGTGGTTGTTGTCAGAAACTTTGTGAAAATCACAAACAACCACGTACATCCTCTCAGCTGTGTGCTACTTTATGAGCAATGAGGTTTATAAAGTAGGCAAGTGTTTCAAACACAAAGTCAAAACAATCATTCCTTTACCCTTGGTTGTCTGCTGGTGTCATTCAGGATGGTCATGGGGTCTGGATCAGGAACAGCATGGCCCACCAGGGTAGGACCGAACACCCTGGCCAAGTTGTGTATATCCATCTTAGTATCTGTACTTTGAGACACTCTGAGGGAGGAAAGAAACACGCTTGTACTTTGAAAACTGCAGAAAGTTACAAGTTGAAACAGTTTGAAACAAAATAAAATTACTTCTGCAGGTGGATTATCAGGCAGGCCAGTGTGTCTCGGTTGGGTTGAGGAAGTTCACTGACAGCCTGATATAACATGGCAATACAGTTGCCATCATCTTGGATTTCTACAAGAATACATACATACAATATTAATAACCCAGGTTAGTATGTGACTTCTACAAATACAGGAATTAATTTTTTAGGTCTCAAAAGTCTCACCAGCTGCTTCCATGAAGGTTTTATTGAGGTGGAAGGTGAGTAGCGGCTCTGGGAGGTTTCTGAGGAAGTCTTTGAGGACACCTGTGATCACATTGATGTCTTCCACTTTGTTAAGGGCAGGCAGTGTCTTTCCTCGAATGAGCTTCTCCTTAAGCTCCTTAACCGTACGCTCCTGGCCAGAGACTCTGTACAGACCAACCTGCAGCAAATTGCAAATAAAAAAAGCATATGTTTTTATTTGTAACTAAGACTCTTTCAAACTAAAAAAAACAACTAAAGCCAGGGAAAGGATTAGGGCTGACAGGAAGTTAAAAATTACATTTTTATAGCCAGTCTCACCTCATGAAGGCCTCTGCGTTCGATCTCTTTAATGCAGTAGATAACCAGAGCTGGGATCATTGGGGAGGTGGCCGGAGCAAAGTCAGCCAAGGTGACCTACATAAAAACATTTTCATTTAACACATTATTAAGATTAAAATAACAGTAGTAGCTGTCTAAATGAAACACATAGAATTTGAGACAAATGTACCTCTGTGCRCCTGGGGAGAGAGCTGAGAGCTGTGGGATTACAGGGGAGGGGGCACTGGTCACGACATTCAGGGTGAGTCACAGTCCTGCAGTCCTGGCAGCGGAGATACAGCTTGCCAAATTTTGTTCTCCTTCGACATGTTGCACAGAACTCAGACTTGATAACCTTGATAGAAAGACAGGGTTTATTTAGGTTAATGAGCCCATTATGCTAAAAGAAATAGAATTGTGATTTCAGAACTTATTTGTACTGTTTTAGGGATGAAGTGGTGCTTCTTTCCTCCTTTCGCTTGGTAAGTTTGAAGCTGGGCTGGAGCATCTGAGACTTGTGTGCTGGGAGCCTCACTAACCGTGTCAAACTGGTCAGTAGTGGTCGTGTCCCCCAACACTGGAGACACAATCATTTGTTAAACAATGAAGGAAACTCAACAAGCAAAATTATTTACCTATACATTTAGCATTCTTGTTTAAATCACACATCTGGGCTCTGGTATAGAACAGAAACAATTCTCACCACTTCTTTTTCTGCTGCGGGTCCAGTAAGGCACAGTTTCAATGGTGGAAACAGCCTCAACAACACCACCACCACTCGCAGGGAGAGTAATGGTGGTTGTAGCCACGATCGACTCATTAATCTGAATCACATGAGAGGAAAACATTTATGTGATCTTTATATTTTAAAGCCACAATAACTTGCTTTAAAAAGTTACATGTTATGAAGCACAGTGAGTACCAGGGGGCAGTATTACCCTGTCTGCTGTTCGCCCACTGGAGCGGGGCTTCTTCACTGCCTGCGGAGGAACATCTGACACTTTTCTTGAAGATCGCTGTGATTTAAAAAAGTTTGTTTTTTCAAAACAAAAGAAACAAAGTCAGTTCATCAAAGCAACAAGTGATTTTAGGRCTCTTCAGAGACAAAATGTCTCAATTATGAGTGAGAGGACATAAAGAGGTTTTTATTCAGAATGTGAGTAAAGCCATGACTAACTCGTTTCTGTCGTCTGCGGAGTCTCACATTCTTCATCACAGAGGAATCCCACTGCTAAAGAGAAAACAGTGAGACACAATACACAATGCAAGCCAGTATAATGTTGCTGTCTCCTAAATTATTTTTGCTGTAATTGAAACGTTGACAAAAAGAGTATGTTTACCAAGGAGTCGTCTGTTTGATCATAGCTGATATCTGACAGCAGAGATGCTGATCCAGATTCATCAATTCTGGTTAATCTGTAAAATAAGTAAGTCATTTATAAAAGGGGGTCTGCAGCGTGTTGGAAAAATGACATGTTTGGAAGATTATACAGGTTTTAACATATTACAACTGATCTATAATGACAGGTGAAAGTTTGTTTTGCCATCATCAGGACAAGAATAAATTCTAAAGTCTATAATTACTACTTTCACCACAAATACATGTAACTGTTTTGTAAACATTGGGTGTTTTCCTTGTTTTAGGCTTATCTCCTTCTGCTAGCAGTAATTACACTGCTCCATTAAAAGATCATTGAAGCTTATACAAAATTCTCTCGTCATGTACAGAATATTAACTAAACTTGTGGAGTTGGCTACAAAATATCAGTCTGTCTTCAGTACTTTCAGAAAATATTGTAATTAATTAGGGTAAAGATGCTTTAAAAGGTATTTCAGAACTTGGTTTTGTGAGGCTGACCTTCGACTGGAGCGGCGGTTGGCTTTAGCAGTTTGTGTTGCCTGGGAGTGGGCACTGAGGAAGGCCAGGGCTGACCTCTGTTCCTCATTTAAAATGACACTGCTACCATTATTCTCTGAAATCAGCAGCTCCCGGATCAGCTGCAGCTGTCGCTCCTTTGTACCCAAAAGGCAGCAGGATGACAGAAACAGGTCCACAAAGACAAACGCAGGTGTTGAAAAACAGTTAAACAAAAATGAATACACAAGTCACCGATGTTATTCATTATCTAAAAACTAAAGTACAGCTTTGTTTTTATTTTTGACTAAGAAACAATATTTGAAAGTAGCGTGGCACCAACCAGCTTCTCATAGACCGCCTCTGCCTTCTGCCGCCGTCTGATCTCTACGTCCACCTGATTTCGAGCGTGTTTTAGTTTAACCTCCAGCGCTCCCTTTTCTGTTTCTGCTTTTGTCAGCATTTCTTTACAGGAGACCAGTTCTTCACCTGACATCAGCCACTTCTTACGGCATTCCTCAAAGTTCACTGCCATCTTGAGGAACTCTACATAACAACACAAGGCGAGAGTGGTGTATTGGTGCTTTGCTCAATAAATCGTTGTATTCAAGAACTCTATTGTAATAAACATTTATATTTTTAATAATGATTAGAGTTACAGCAGCACAAGTCAGTTTTTTTAATAAAGTGAGTGGCAAATGATTAAAGTGCTCACAGTCATTCAACTTCTACGACTACATCATCTCTAATCTAAGATCCAATACATCACTGTTTATTTAGCAAATGAAAGGTTCTTTGCGCCCTGTTTCCAGTATATTCACAGAGTGAGTTCATACTTGCACAGATAGATTGTAAACATGTTTCTGTTTGGACTACATTTTCATTATAAAAGGTACACACACAATCATCCTTTCCACTAAAGTGTTCAGCAGCTCACTGAAAACAATCCTAACCCAAAACAGTTAGCTCTACCGTGGGGCAGTGAAAGACTTAGAGATGGCACATATCACAACGAAGTGTGGAGATAACTTACCTGGTTCAATGCTTTCATTCAGACCGTCCACCTGAGCTCTGAGGCTCTGGAACTGGTTATACAGGTTCATCACAGATAACTCCATTTTTGTCTCACTGCAGCTCTGGTATACAAAGACGTACACTTAGCTTAGTAAGGAAAAAATGTTACAATATAACCTAAGTGACATTCTAAGTTGTGGTTGGCGATTAAATCGACCCTAAGAAAAGCAGCYTTTCAAACATATTTTATGAATACACATGAATCATCATATACACTACGAAGTTAGACCGAGTTAAAACTGTTGTGCTTGTATATTCCAAACAAAAAGACAAGCTATTTTAACAATAAAGAAAGAAAAACATGAAGAGAAAAAAACAGGTTTAACATGCTAAGTTAGCGACATGCTAACAACAGAGTCTAGCTGTACAAGCACACAGAAGCCAGGCAGGGGGGCAAATCGCTAACTCGGTCAAAACTAAAGATAAAAATAATAGTTATTTTAAGTTACCTATGCGATAAAGCTTCTGTGATAGCCAGCCGGACATGGAACGTAACAGTGTCCGACGGAATGAGCAGAGATTATAAAAAATGTTCGCACAGRAGCGAAAAGAGCCACGCCTGAATGTTTTCAGATTCCTTCAGTTCAAAATCAGCGCCGGTTTTCTTCTTCGTCAGCTAAAAGCGGGACTTAGAGCGCTCTGTCGCCCCCGACGGCAAGACTTGTAACTGCATGTGGTTTGTTGGTCTGGAAACTAATTTATAGTGTTTTATGGGCCTCATGTCTCAATGTGGTTAAGTCTAATCGTATCAAATTAAATATGCAATTCAATTAAATTCAATTCAGTTTATTTATACAGCGCCAAGTCACAACATACGTTGTCTCAGGGCACTGTATATGAAAAAAGAACAATCTAAAGAAGAAGCCAMCAGATTGTGTTGAATCACTTCATCACAGTCTCCCATCCTGAGCAAACGGTGGAGAGGAAAACTCCCTGCTAATCAGGAAGAAACCTCCAGCAGAACCAGGCTCAGGACAGGCGGCCATCTGCCTCGACCGGCTGGGTGACAGGAAAGAGACACAGGCAAACACAGAAGAACTGGTCCAGGACTGGTCCAGGTGCACCTACTTTTGAAAAAGAGACAAAAAGAAAAAAACATGTTATTGATAGAAATAATTACAATAAACATGTAGAGAAGAGAGACTAAAGGCAACAGCAGAGTGAAGAAATGTGCTCAGTTTGTGCTCCAGCTGTCTAAGTCTGTAGCAGCAGAAATGATGAATAATGGAAAAAAAACCTGTCTATTTATCAAAAAGGAAACACAAAAATTAAATACTATTACATAATCTTGCAAACTGCCTCAGAAAACACTTTTAGTAAGAACATTGAACTAAAATGCTTATTTATAGACTAAATAAAAC